GCACCTACACACCACTTTTTCTATGCATGAAAAGAGTATTTCACTTTTTAAGAATAAAAAAAAAATGATATTTTTGATGTGATATGAAAAATTTAGGTGATAAAAATGTAATGATTCTCACTTTAATGTACAATACTTGTGCCACTGCACCAAATGAGAATGCATGCATACTTAGAACATAATCTTTTATATAATGATTCAAAGTTCTTCCTTTTGAAGCTTCATTTGTATAATTCGAGGCTCTTACTTTGATTTAAAGGTATAATGATCATTCAGAAGCACTTGAGAGTTTTTCTGCGGCTTTTAGGCGCTAGCAAATTGGACAATGAATATTCTCATGAACTTGCCAAAAGAAGTGATAACTTATGTAGGCAAGTTGTTAAACTAGCTTATGGTTGATTTTTTTAGTTATAAAGGATAAAAAACACTTGAATGCATCATTTATACATAACATACACAACTGACTTGAAGAAGATACGTGATCAACTAGATTAGGTCTTCCTTTGTAGGACTAAATATGAAATTTTGAATTTCTGTGGTGCTTCAACTTATGCAATATCCCTTGAAAAGCATTCTCTAATGGCTTATGTTTCTTCTTATAACCCCTTCTACCTCCTTTTATGTGGAGTTGGAAGATCTTCTTTTGGGATGTATAACTTGCGATCATCTTTTTCTTCTAGCTTGGAGATTTCTTATATTATCCCTTGTATTATCTTCAGCATATGCTCTTTAGTTTGTTAGTCTGTTGCATCACAAACTCTTTGGCGCAATCCATTCTTTTCTTTATTCTCTCTCATGCTCATAATCTCGTAGTTAAATTTGAGTATGACTTCATGCTTATTGTATCTTTTAAAATGTTGAATATTTATAAGACGTAAAGTTTCATGTTTTTGTTGGCTCATACAATTCAGGGGAGACCTATGAAGGAAAGAGGGATGCAAAAGAAAAGAAAAGATGGAGGTTTGATCTTCAATCCTTGGCTCTTAGTTTTTAGTTTTTGAAGGAGGTGGAAGGAAAGGATGAAATAAATGCTCCCTTCGGATCCCATCCCCCTTAAAAGCAAGAAGGAACATTTATTTATATAACTCTAAACGGCCCCCTCCCCGCCTGATACTAAACAACCCTTGTACAATATGAGGTCTGTTTTTGATATGCCAAGGAGGGATGGCGACGCAGGTGTCAGGTAACTGATAAATGGACATGAATGTGCGTTTGCCTTTTAACGATGAACTTCACTTCGATAATTGGTGAATTCAAAGGAATGTCAGCTGGGTGAACTCAACAAACTATTCTAGGAAGTCAACTCAGCCTCATAGGGATGTGGCATCTAGCACTTCAACATATTAGGCGAAGACATTTTGGCGGACAAGTTAATTAGGTGGTTTAGCTTGACAAAATAATCTTGTTGGGTAGCAACCATTTACCATGTGAAAGTGAAATAGTCTTGGAAGGACACCTTTGACTCCAATGGCTTAGAGAAAATTAAAGAAAAAAAATTAACCGAGGGTTAATTTATGAATAAAAAAGATCTGTAAGTGAAAGAAATTGCGACAACGCTTGTAGGTGAATGAGAAGTTGAGATGAGAGTCGCGTTGGTGCTTACCAGAGAAGCTCGAAGTCAGGACGAACGCTTGTAGGCGAGTAATTCTCACCTTTCTGACCTTCACATGTTTATTCCTGTTGTATCTTTTCAATCCAATGAACTGCTGGATTTATTACTAAATATAGGACTTACTTTGAAATTGAACTTGGAGGTGAAGGGGAAGGAGAAGCGGTTTAGTCAAAACCCGAGAGGAAATCATAATTTTTATTATTCAAACCAACAGAGTTACAATCAAGGCTCGAAGCATGACAATAAAAACACAACATATGCAAATAGCCTGCTAGGGCCGGGCAGGAGTAACCTTGGACACTGGCTAAGGGGAAATGGAGTGCGGCAGGAGGGCTTGAGAAGGGTTGTGACTCAGCAGGTAAGCGGGTAGGGGAGTTGGAGTATAGTAGGATGGCTTGGGGAGAGTTGCAGCTCACGAGGGAAGTGGGTAGGGGAGTTGCGGCTCGCAACAGCAAGGAGAGGGGATCAACAACTAGAAGCAGGGAGAAGAAGGTTGGGTGGCTTGCAGTTGGTAGTAGGGGAAGAGAGGTATATGAAGAGATTTACGTAGATAATCATCACCTCGAAGCAGGATACTAACGGAGCTTCACTTGTCCTTGGATACAACCCTAACATGGGAAAATGTCGGAGGCAGAAATCTTAAATCAACAAAAATGAAACCTTAGATAGACCAAACAACATATGTATAATAGTAGATAAAATAGGAGGGGTGGGGGGAGGGCGGAAATTCCCGCTTAATTGTAGAACCGACCGATCTAGCCTCCCTGATTGATTGGCACCTCCTTGCTGAATCGGTTGAGTAGTTCAACCCCAGTCCCCGCGTCAGTCTTCCAGGGTGGAGGAGCTATGCTTTGACCTCATTCGACAAAGTTGTTGGCTCCTTATCTTACAGTGTCAAGTCCACAATATTGAATGTAGCAGAAACATTGTAGTCCCCTGACAAATCAATATTATAAGCGTGGTCATTCAGCTTTCAAAGTATTCTGAAAGATCCATCTGCTTTAGGTTTGAGTTTTCTGAATGCTCCCATTGAAAATTTTTCTTTCTTCAACCAAATCCACACTAGATCTCCTTCTTGAAAAGTCACATTTTTTCTGTCTTGTTTGTCCATGCTTAGTACTTGTGATTCTACTTAGTGATCTCTTTTCCAACCTCCTTGTGGAGCTTCTAAATCTCATGCACCTGTTCCTCAGCACCATCACTAATCTCTGATGTCGACAACAGTGGTACCTATTCAACTGAAGTGAGTGGGTTGTGCTCGTACACAATCTCCAATGGGATGCGCCTCGTAGTTTGACTCATGGATCTGCTGTAAGCAAAATCAACATCAGCTAGAATTAGATCCCACAATTTAATACTCTTTCCTATGAAGTATCTTAGAATGTTCCCCATGCTATTGTTTACCACATATGTCTTATCATCTGTCTGTGGGTGAGCTCCTAGCTTCCCCCACAGAGTCCTTCAAAAGTGACTTATAAACTTGACATCTCTGTCGAACGTGATGGTTGTGGGTATCCCGTGTAGTCTCACCATCTCCCGAAGTACAAATTGGTGATGTGATGCATCTAACATCTGGTAGCAAGGTACGAAATGTGCCATGTTTGAGAATCGATCCACGACAACCATCACAAAATCCTTGTTTGACCGTGTCCTCGGGAGACCCATTACAAATTCCATGCTAACATCTAACCATGGTGCCTCCTGTATTGCTAATGGGGTGTATAACCCCGCATTATGTCCCCAATTTCTTGCCACATGACAAATCTGACATTGGCTGATGTGCCACTCCACATCTCTCAGTAGTCAGAGCCAAAATAAGTATTTTCTCATGAATGCAAGAGTCTTGTCTCCTGCCAAAATGCCTTGAAAGCCCTCCACTGTGGCTTTTCTGAACAATGAACTCCCTCAGCGAACATCTAGGGCTGTTCAACTCTCTGGTAGAAGTAACTATTAGCTCTGTAGTACTGCACGATAGACTTTTCTTGAAATTGCTCTTAAATTTTTTCGAAATCCTTGTTTGTCTGGTACGACTCCTTTAATACCTCAAATCCTATGACTCGAGCCTACATCGCACTATCAACAAGTGATGACGCCTCATTTGACTCACCGCCTTGTGTTTAAACATGAACTGGAATGATGCTAAGAACTCTACTTAAGATGAGTATCGGTCCATCAATTTACTCTGGTTGTTCAAGAATTTCAAGGCTTCATGGTTCATGAATAACATGAATTCGCTCGTCAGTAGGTAGCGACACCAGTGCTCAAGAGCTCTCATAATAACATTAAACTTCTTGTCGTATGTCAAATATTTATTGCCGGATTCTTTCAACTTCTCAGTGAAAAAGGCTATGGGGTGATCTCTCAAACTCAACACTTCTCTTATCCCCACTTTGGATGCACCACACTCTACCTCTGATGATATAATGTCACACTTGGGAGCAAGCTTAAATCAGTATACCAGCTCATGAAGTATATAATTTCGCCTTAAGAACAACAATACAGGTAAATCAAACCTCCTCATCTGTATAGGAAAATATAAAGAAGAAATTTGCTCATTCTACTCTTTTGTTGTCTTCTTCTCAGAGCCTGGGAGATATTTTTCATCATATTAGTAATGTATTCAACCTGGATTTGCCCATTTGAACTGCTTTTCTTAAGATACTCATTTTAACTTTCTATCTCATTGAGCAATATTATTGTTAGATACAACATCCATTTTGAAATAAGAAAACCTTATTAGATCATTAAGTAGTTTTATTTATGTGTACTTCTTCAAATGACATTGTCGTTTGACATGGGCTTAGGATCTTTCTGCAACTGAATGGTATAATCATCCATGGCTTTTATGTAGATTTAACTACCATCAAAATAGACGAGACATATGCTTATGAAAGTATGTAACAAATCAAAACTGTCTGGACTTACATATAACAATCAAAGTCATGCTGAAATCTGTAGCAGCAGTGCATAATTTCTTGATGTGTTTGTGTTTTTATCTTTGCTCTATTTCATTTGTTCTCAATGATTTGAATTAGAGCTTACTTAATTCTCCGATAATAACAACATGAAGACACAATTCGTACTAACTTCATGCATTATGACATCTAATGTCTACATATATAAATAAAGAATAAGATCTTCCAGATTAAACCTTTGGACATACATCCTTGTAAAAAATTTGGCACCTGTCATCACTGGATTTTTGTGTCCCAAATAGGTCTGAGGCCAGAAAGCAGTTCAGCGTAGCTCCCACTGTGCTCAACATCTCTGAAACCCCTGCAAAATGAACTTAGAACTGTGCTGAAGTTGAAAAAGTAGCTATTTGTTGCATCATTATATTGATTATATTATGTTTTAAGAAAACTGATAGCACTATAATGACTTACAGATCTTTCACATAAGGTTTGGTAACTGGGACTACTCCTTTCAAAGTATCCTGATAGACACCATTAAAAACTGCAATATATATGACTTATAAGAGGAACAGCAGAGAATAAAGATGGGCAAACTTTAGGGGCATTTACATGCATACCACCCAATTCTTTTGTATTTACATATCTAACACCTAAACTGCTTTTTACATCAATACCGCCCAATTTTTTTTTATCACATAAAAAATACCACCATTTTGACATTTAAAAAGTGAAATACACATTTTCATGCATACTTAAGGTGGCATGTGTGCAAAAATTAAGATTTATGTGTTAGATATGTAAATACATAAGGATTGGGTGGTATGGGTTTCTTCTGCAACTCAAGTGAACAAACCAGTAGTCATGGTGGGAGGCTTGTGGTTTTCTCAGGATCATTGCTCCACCTCTCAGCAGAATGCCTCACAGTGCTGCTCAGGCTCTCTCCATGCCTGACAGAGATAGCTGCACCGATGATGGAAAACCTGAAAGCTACAGCTTGAAATGATTTGAATTCATCTATGCTGATATGCTCCATAATCATGGCTACATATTGAACAAATACTCTATAGAGATTTTGCAGAGTTGACACTCACATTGGAGTTCCATGATGCATAGAATGATCCATAGTTCTGCTTATATGAGCATGAAACAATAATATTGGTGCATGAATTCATAAAAGAAGAGATTTTTATGCTGGAGAGAAGAGGAGATATTTTGGCTATAAATTCAGCTTATATGAGCATAAAACAATAATCTGAAATTTGTTGTAATCAGAGGCTACAACTTATTAGTGATAGAAAATCTAGACTTAAAACAGAAACTAGAAAGCCTGAAAACATATAATGAATATTTTTGTAAAACTGCTATATATTATAAATACACTAGACCCCTTATTTTTACTGATAATGCACGTGTAGAGAAGGAAGAGCTGAAAAACATAATTATTCCCGTAAAGCATAAAAGAGCAGCCTTTAGAGAAAGCTGCCGGTAAACGAAAAGATCCAGGGAGGCTCGAGCAATAGCTGAGATGACTGGTGGAGTGGCACAGAGGCTTCGCATTGACTATAACCGGCTGAGGAGTCTCCTCACGCAGCCACCTTCAACAGCTATCAGAATGAATGATAAAAGTAAGCCTTTGAATATATTTTCTTACATAAAATCAACAGCTATCAAATTTCTTCAATTTCAACTTAATTTCACTTTTCCTTTATTTCGTATAACAAATATCTGCACCCAGAATTTCCATGGGCAGCGACGAGACAGACGTCGAGATCACCGTCAGGAGACTATCGGTCCAGTCTGCCTTTATTGGATTCGAGTATCGCTATATTTCACGCTCGTCCGTCTTTCTTCTCCGATCCAAATTGATCTGCGAATAGATCTGCAGAAGAAGCTGAGGAAGATCTCCAGTATCATGTCAGAGTAGTCTACAGCTGCGTAACCTCAATCTCTCAAATCTCTCGGTCGCCTAATCTTCTCCTATGATACCAGCAGACGGAGTTTCTGTACCTCCAGGCTAGGACTAAGGGAGAGCTTCTACAAGGGATCCCCCGAAATACAATGCATGCGCCAATCCGTTGTATCTTCTTGCTATTGCCTGAGGTACATGTTTGTTTATTCTCGTGGTGTCAGATCAATTAACAGACTATAAGCTATGATTCGAAAATAATGTGTTATATTCTAGAGTTTAGTTTTAAGATTATTTACCTTGCTGGTCATCAGGGGATCGGTTATAGTATGAATGATAAGCTAGATATCATTTACCCCAAATTTATAGTTATGATTCAATGTTTGGATATAGTATGGGGATTTGCTATCTCTAATTGCCTTAGGTAGGATTTTTTGTGGTACGCCAAGCTTCCAATAATGTAATTGTTTAGAATTTACATTATAGTATTTCATATTTAAAATAAAAAAAAAACTGAAGCATAATTTTGTAATCATAGCTTACAATTTTTAGATTGTTTTATGCGAAGATCTAATTTTTGGAGTGTTTTATGGCCTGTCACATTTAACATTGACCATCTGATGACCCTGTTAGGAGAGTAGATGTTTTAGATTCAATTTATGTGAAGAGAACTCTACTACCAACTATTTTTATTTATAAACATTTTTTCTTTTAATTCTTGAAGTACATCTTTTACTACTTGTTTAATGGTGTTTGTTACTTTATCCTACATAGAATTAACTTCTTCATGAACATCCCAAATTTTGAAATATTGAAGTTTACTCATAGAAATAATTTTATTCATGTCATTTATTGTCTACAATTAATCTTATGACAACGTTTTATTGTATTATTTATCTTACAACTCTTTATCTTAAAATTCAGAGCTAATAATCGATGTCGAGCGCTTGAGTTTTCACTTAAAATGATCTTACAATCTTCAGTTTAATATAAATAAACTTAATTAAATTAATATTATTTTTTAGGAAATTGTCAGAAAATGTTATTTAATTATCTTGATAAATTATTTATTAATATAATTAGAAATTAATAAAATTAATTTGCTATTAATGATTACTATCAACAAATAAAAAAAGGTTAATTTAATTGAACTAATATCAAGTTATTTTTATCTCAATAAAAAAAAAAATGAAGTATGGCTCAAATATATAAGTAAAAATTAATAATAATTTTTTACATGAAAAAAAAAAAAAAAAAAAAAAAAAAAAGCATGATATTGCACAAAAGAAACAGCTTTTTAAATAATTGAAGCTATATAGTTCCACTATCCTCCTCAACAGGGAGATGCAATATTACAAAATAACAGATTCTTATTTGTCTTTCTATTACTATAACAATGGTTGATAGATGATAACATCAATTTACTTGAAATGATCGTGCAATAATTGTAAGGGTGGTCAATAATTGATTAGTCTCCCATCCCTCTTTCATACTAAAAGTGGTTTCCTATTAATAGATCAAACCATATTTCTCTTGAAGAACTACACTTTACAATCTAATCACATTTCATTTGTTATTTATTGGAGTGAACTATATTTAGGGACCGTTTGGGGCAGCTTATAAGACTGGGGACGTTTCTAAAAAATATCGCGGTACCCGTTTGGATCGCGTGTTTTGTCTGTTTATCCGAAAGCGTGATTGCATTTGTACACTAAACGCAGGTCGCGGGTCGAACCCTGCGAGCCACGTTTCAGAATAAACTGATTATCCTGAAACGCACAAGCTGCCCCAAATGCACCCTTAAAGTCAAAGAGTTTATACACAAAATGCACAAAAAATGTTAACTTGCTATCATTCTCATGGAATTTGATCTTAATGTATTATTTATCATTTCGGTGATATACTAATATCAAATACCTAAACTTACTTTTGATATTTATAGCACATATCACATCAAAAATATTATCATTTTAGCTTTTAAAAATTGGTTAAGTGCATGTGTGTAAAAATTGAAATTTAAGTACTAGATATGTAAATGCAAAGAAATTGATGAAATTTTTTCATAATTATGAAACATCATTTAAACTGCATAGCCACAAACATGTTCATTTTTGAATATAACTTCGGTTTGTCTCATAAGATATGGAAAATTTACATGTACGCACATAATTTTTCTGTATTTATACATTCAACACCTTAAATCTGATATTTAAACTTATAAAATGTTCATTTCATAAATTTATGCATAAAAATGTGTATCTAAACTTAAAAAAGAGAATAATGGAGGTATTTTTTAATTGATGTTAAATTTTTAAGTTTTATGGTTATAAGTATAAATTTCTAGGTGTTAGATATGCATATACATAAGAATTTTGTGGTATGTTTGCATCATTAAAAATGATATTTGCACCAAGATTCTCCCTTCTTTCTTGCAATATTTTTCATATAAAATATTTTTCATAAAATTCAAAGTATAGAGAAAGCATACCTAAGTCTAGGGGTGTAAACGAACCGAACACAAACGAACAAAGCTTGTGTTCGTGTTCGGTTCGTTTAAAATTTAGTTTGTTTGAAATAAGCTCGTATTCGTTTCTTAACGAACGACGAACCGAACACGAGCTGTTCGCGAACGACGAGCCAATTTGACATCCCTAATATTAATATATAAAAATAATATTATATATTAATTATATAACTTATATTATATAAATATACAATATCTATATTAGCATATTACTACTATAGTATATTAATATAATATTATTATTATTTTATTATATATTATAATTTATAAAATTTAATGTTTTAAAATATAATAAATTTTTTATATATAATTATTTTATATTATTTTATATTTCAAACAATAACGATTCGAACACGAACGAACGCATCACTGTTCGTGTTTGGTTCGTTTAACTAACCGAACGAAAAAAATTTGTTCGCGTTTGTCTCGTTTACTTATCGAACAAATCGAACACGAACTCATTGACGAACCGAACACGAATTGTTCGCGAACAACGAGCTTTTTTGACAGCCCTACCTAAGTCGTGTTGGCCCTCTCCACCGTCCATCACAACAAATTTTTTTTTAAGCAAAAGAATTCAAAATAGGGTCTACCGTCATACATCTCTGTTGTGATGAACGGTTGAGATCAGACACCTTATGCATTTTTACATACAGTGTCCGTATGAAATAATTTTTCATCGTTGAGGGCTTTGTCCTCCAAATATAGAATCATGAATTCAAGATTCTGTATATCGTTAGCTTCTTACGAACACAATAGGTGCGAATATTTTGCAATTTTGAGTTAATACTATAAAATTTAGAAAATTGCACCCATAAAAAATTTCTTTAGGCCATCAGTTAAACAATATGGTGATTTCCATAGCGCGAGAGAATGCAAATTTAAAATAATGATTTAATACGGATTTTTTTTTTTGAAAAAACAATGTAAAAAGAAAAAAAAAAGGATTCATCATTTTTAATCATTACATCAGTATAGAAACTATTTAATAACAAATAAAAAATTGAAATTTAATGTTAGAAGTTAATTTGTCGATCCACCCTTTATGATCATCACTGACAATAATAGTTAATTTGTCGATAAAAAAGTCAAGAACTTTTGTAGCGAGTGATAGGGCTGTCAAAAACGGCTCATGTTCGCAAATAACTCGTGTTTGGCTCGTTAAGAAACTCGTATTCGGCTCGTTTGCTAAGTTAACGAGCCAAACACGAACAATACGAACCAATATTTGTTAGTTCGTGTTCAGCTCATTTTGGCTCTAAATACTACTAATTGATTATATGTATATCTTTGATGAGTAGTATTTAAAAAAAAAATAATTGACTATAAGACTACAAAGATTTATAATTAATTAAAAGTTAATGAAGAAAATAGAATAAAAAAATATTAAATTAGATTCAAATGATGTTTTAAATCTTGCCCCAATCTTTAACATCTTATGGCTATGTGATTAGGGTTGTCAAAATGATTCTTTGTTTGTGAACGGCCCGTGTTTGTCTCGCTAAGCAAATGAGTCGAACACGAACACACTTTCTGAGGCTCAGCTCATGTTCGGCTCGTTTACACCCCTAGCGAGCGACAGACACAACTCAAGCATACCTTGATGCACCATTCAAAGACAAATGGACAAATGAAATCAGCCAACAATTCATATTGAGCCTGTTGATGAAGAAAATAAAAGGAGTAAAAGAAGAGTTGGCTGAAATTTGGCCCTCAATATCTTTGGGCGTTCTGAAAAGGAGTAAAGGAAGTCCCTTCACATGGGACTGAAGCAGTCCAATCAAAGACTTATAACACGTTAATTTCATATGCATGAAAATATGTATCTAATCTTTTTAAAAAAAATTAATGGAGGTATTTTTTATTTGATGTTATAAATATGGATGTTTGGGAGTAATCTATTTATATACATGAGAATTGTGTGGTATGTATGTGAATGACCCTTTAAACATGATGTTTTAAACAAGTTTCTCTCTCATTTTTTGCAATATTTTTCATGTAAAATACCTTTAATGACATTCAAAGTAAGGAGAGTGTGTTTAAGGTCCAATTCAGGGAAGCTTTTTGGTGCGATGCAGCTTAAAAATGCAGGTGGAACTGATTGGATAATGTGAGGTGGTGGCTTATGACAATAATATATTGAAAAAGTGGGTTGCAGGTTAGACTCCAAGGCCCACGGTCTCTTCATGATTTTAATCCACATATTTGATGCTTTCTCGCGTTGCTTTTACAAGTTGTTCAGTATGACACAACTTATATTCATCGATCTCATGGAGGTACTAGACAAGAATCATGAAGTTCATGACTCATCCGGGATGACTTCAAGAGAGGTGTTAACAGTAACCCTCTACATTTTATCCGGAATGAATCAATGCGAGAAGTCGTGAATATATTTCAGCACTCCTTATAAACAATGTATATAATTTTCTAAATTGGGCTGACTGTTCTAGTTAGTTTCTCATTAAACCCAATAACCCAACATTTGAAATGACCCCCTTAGAGCTTTCACAGAACCTGCGGTATATGTCATAATTTAAGATATTTATATTTATTATTTCTTCCAGATTCAAATGAACACAACAATTTTGTTTACTTGTTAAAGTCTTTAGGATTGTATTTGAGGGATCAATGGTGCAGACGTGGAAACATGTGTTTCGAATAATAAAAAGATCTTATTCATCGGGCAATGCAAATCACCAACACAAAACCTTATGGTTGTATGTAACGTTAATTTGAGCTTCGCTTTTGTGATGACTGGTTGGCAAGCTAGTGCACACGACAGTCGTATATTCAAAATTGCCACAATAACTCAAAATACAATTTTCCTCACCTACTGTCAGGTTTGTTT